TGACCGGAATAACCTGGGACCCTTCAGTCCGCAGGCCGACGCTCTATCCACTGAGCCAAACCGGCTTCGGCAGAAATACTTTTAGAATGAACACATTTTGCCCTCGCCAGTTTGGTTCAGTGTATAGAGCGTTAGCCTGTGGACTAAAGGGTCCCGGGTTCGATGAATGAACACATTTTGCCCTAGCCAGTTTGGCTCAGTGTATAGAGCGTTAGCCTGCAGGCTAAAGGGTCCCGGGTTCGATTTCAGTCAAGGGCATATGCCCAGGTCGCGGGCTCAATCTCCAGTGGGGGGCATGCAGGAGGCAGCCAATCAATGATTCCCTCTCATCATTGATGTTTCTATCTTTCTCTTCCTCTCCCTTCCTCTCTGAAATCAATAAAAATATATACTCACACACTCACACATTTTGAACTGGTCCAAGAAGATTCTTTCCTAGTCAGCCTAAGAAAACACTTCCAAGCCTTCAAAAGGGAGGAACTTCGTCACCTGTCCAGTGTGAACCCTACGCAGGGAGGATTGGCAGCCTGAGAACCCTTTAGAAAGGTTGTTTCCCTGGAGGCAAAAGGACAGCCACCTCCTCCAAACCCATGTGGACAGCCTGGGGTTCGGGTCTCCTACCTGACTGATGTGGGGGAAGCCGCATTCCTGTTGGTGTAGTTGACTAAGGCATTGAAGGACTGGTTCACCCATTGCCAGAAGATGATCGCTGGCATCGTCCTACCAGTAATTGAGGTCCAGAAAGGAGAGGAGAATGGAAGGGAGGGCTTCGTATACACAGGTCAAACCATGTTAACAGCTCTTCCCCAAACTGTTCCCATGTTCTATACACCTGGGCTTTTGTAGTCTTGCCCCACTTCCTGGAACACACACACACACACACACACCCTTGCCCCTCTTCCTGGAACACACACACACACACACACACACATACACACTCACACACTCACACACTCACACACTCACTTTCACACTCACATCCTGTTCCATCCATGGCTAAGTAAGTTAGATTAGAGAGATTACTTCCTCCTTGGAACCTTTTTGACCGTTCCCCTGCCCTTCCTGAGACAAAGTCATCCCATGCGCCCATGCTCCCAACTCCTAAAATCCCATATTCTCTCAACCTACCACTTAGCAAGCTGGACTGTCACCGTTCACTTACTTCTTGGCCTCTAACAAAACTTGAAGCTCCTTGAGGGGAAGGAAGGACTAAAGTCTTTATAGTCCTAACAGCTGGGGCCCAAAGTCTGGCTCAATAACTAGACAAATAAATGCATGGGGGGCAGGAGAAGGAAGGGAGGAAGGGGGAAGAGTCACACATCCAGCAGCTACGTTTATTCTCTCCCCAACTGAGCTGAAAGGGCCTTCCTATTTTTTTCCTGGGATATTACATTATAAAATACATTAAATTTATTGTTAATATAAGCACTTTTTGAAGAGGAAATTAGTATCGTTTATTCACTGCGAGTTCTAGAAAGGACTGCCTTAGTTAAAATCCAGGTACCAACACTTCCTGGCTGTATGAGCTTGCACAAGTTATATAACCTCTCTAGAACCTCAGTTCCTCATCTATCAAATGGAGAGGTAATAGTACCTCTCTGTAGGACTGTTGAGAAAATTACATGAGGTAACACATTCAAAGAATTTAACACAGTGCCTAGTATCGAGAAAGTTGCAATGAAGATGGCTGTTATTATAATATGGCTCCCTGGCTAGCAGACCCAAGTGGCTACACCTCCCATCGCCTTGCTCCCAAGTCCCACCTGTAGAACTGGAGCATGAAGCCTGTGATGATCATGCCGCCGGGAACCTGGAAGGACATCCGTCCAATGACATTCATCTTGTCCCCGGTGTCAGGGTGGAAGGCAGAGTCATAGAGCTTTTTGGCATACAGCAGCTGCTCCACTTGAGTCCCTGGGGGCACGACCCCCATCCTGTCACCCAAGACAGAGTCACCCCCTTGTCCCCCCACTCCAAGTCATCCTGCTCTAATTCCTCCCTCCTCCCTGAGATTTCTGCCTGTACCCTCCTCTTCAGTTTCCACCTCCTCTAGGGAACCCATCCAAGTGGCCCCAGTGCCTCCAACCCCTTCCCCTAACCATTCACCTGCTTTTCTCCACCATCATCTTGGCCCAATCCAGCTCCCGCTCTGGTATCAGAACAGTGCGAGGGTCCGTGATGTTGAAGAAGTGCTTCACCCGCCCCAGGAAAGTGGACTGGTCCCAACGGGGGGCATCGATGTTAAAACCAGACAGGTCAGGCTCCATCTTGCTCGCACACAGAGCTGTGTACTTAAGAAAGACAGGAAAAATGAGGACTGTTCCCTAAATCAAAACCTGACCCGGAAGCCCTGGGCATCTCCCACTCTGGTAAACTGCCCGCTTTCACCAGCCACTGCCGTCACTCAGTCTGGGAAGGACTCAAGACTGAGCAACTGGGTACCAACATGTGTTTCCTGAGTGCCTACTGCTGGCCAGCCCTGTGCTTGATCATGCTGCGGGGGAGACTGGTAAAGGGGACAACACGGTGCCTGTACTTGGGGAGCTGAGTCTGACTGAGGAACAAGAGCCCACAGTGGAACCCTATGTAATATGTACAGCAACAATAATACAGGAGATAAGCAGAAGCAGAGACGGAGGGGCAGAGGAACAGAGTAATCAGAGGGGGCTTCCCAGAAGGAGTGGAATGTGAGGGAGGCCCTAGGAGAAGGATTTATCTGAAGGAGGTAGAAGGCATGGGATCACAGTAAAGGTAGAAACAATCACAGATAAAGTGGAAATGAACATGGCGTGCTCACTTTCGTCATTTCAGTGTCTGTGTGTGGTGCATGTCGGCCCTGTGAGAGATTCAGGGCCATGGCTGTGAGCAAGGTGCCATGTCTGCCCTCAAGGAATTTCAGAATAGAGGTTAAACAGGTAATTCAATAAGGAGAGCAGAGTAAACAATTCTGCTGCCAGACACTGGGAGCAGTGGAAAGTCAGAAAAGAGCATCTAAGACTGAGATGACCATATCTCCCAGTTTCCCTAGGAGTGTTGGCCTGGGGTCATGACTAATAGCACCCCTTTCACTCTCAATTTGCATGTGTCCCAATTTGGATGATAAATTAAATGGTCACCTTATCTGAAATAGATAAGGGATTCTTTTCTTTTTCCAGTCAACAGAGCCTTTATTAACATAAAGTATCATTTGCCACAAGATATACATGTTCTCCTAATCTTTCAGTTCTTTTTCAATATTTTAACTTAAGGTTACTTGTGGATCTAACATAAAAAGTAACCTACTAAAATTGGTCAAAGTAAAATTTGATTCTATCTATCACCTTAACCTTTTATTATTTAGATTTATAATTGACATCATTTGTCTCAAGTAGCAGAATATAATTCTTGTACTTGATAATCTTCTATACTAAAATATGTGCCAGTATATCTGAAGAAGTTACTAAATATATGGAGTTAACATAGATATTTAACTGCTTTCAATAAGCTGGAAAGTACAATGTTAAGTTTTCTAAGAGGAAAATCATTTATAGATCTTAGTTGTTTATAGTTTTTGCAGTTTCCATAAAAACTGGTTCATATTAAATCAGTGTTGAAGAATTAAGATGGAAACTTAGAAACCCTAATGACAGTCTTGGTTTACTAAGATAGAAACAATAATAAACCAAACTATAGTCTCTTTCACAAGGCCCAAGCAGAGATGCTCTGTTATAGCTTTTGAAAAATTTTTTGTCTGCTTAGTATAAAAGTTGAATGACCTCTTTGTAAGTTAGATTATCAGGAATCCCACAGATGATGGGCATATTTATTGGGACACATTTTAATTAATAGAAGATAATTCATATACCGTATCAAAATGCATTATAAGATTTACACTATATCTGTCCTCATGCTTGTCATATTTTATAACATTTTAGTTGGATGCAGGAAGACTGGAATTGTTCACAAAAGTCTAGCTTTTAAGATGTGGGTAAAGTTCACAGTGAGTCTTTTAAAACATTTAAGTAACCAGAAGTATAATAACAAGAAGGGATTATGTAAGAAGAATGAATATTGCAAAGGAAGCTTTATAGTCAATGAAAATACAGTACTTTGGATTGGCCAATATGCACAGTACACATCAAATCAAGGTCATGTACTTTACTTATTGACCACGTGGCTACAGTTTAAAAGGTCACTACTCCAACAGCCTTACCAAGTAATCTTCCAAATTGCTTTTAAATAAAGTTCTTCAATTGTAGCAATGAACAAAAAGACAAGATACACTTAAAACAATAGTGCAGTTTATGAAAAGGCACATAAGAAATTTCAACTCATGTCTTTAGCAGTTATAAAAATCAATATTTGGCTAAGTTATAAACATGTTTATAATGCAATTATTTGCATAATTCTAATAATACTAATGACAGCTATAATATCAGAAGAGGTTTAAAAACAACAACACTAAAAACATAAAAATACATAGCCCCATTATTTACCTGTAGAGTATGTTCATTTATGACTAAATTTCAGCATTTACTATATCGCCACTGCTCTAATTTTAAAAATCACATCCAAAGGGAAAGGCAAAACTACCTAGCAACTGGCCTATTTGATTATTTCCTCAATTTGTGAGTATGTCCTTAATCTGTTGATGTAGCAAACAAATTTCAACTGTGTCATGCAAAGAAGAGATGATAGTCTGCTTTGCAATGAACTTCAAAGTTCAATCGCACACAGGCAACATGCTATATATGAAAAAATTACTAACTGAACTACAGGTATTAAATACTGAAAATAGTTAACAGTTTGTTATAATTTATTTTATTTAATAATCTAGGAAGTTTGCAGCCATCAGGAGTTCCAATTTCAGGTGCAATTGGGAATTCAGGAATCTCTGTGGAGCTGTTAGCATAGTGAACCTTGTAAGTAAAATACATGCATACTTTTGAGAGCACATGTGAAGGGATCTCTCTAAAACTGACTTCATTAGTTTCATTCTCAGCAAACTGACCTGGGCCACTCAACATGGCTTGTATCATTCCTGATGTTAATGCATATTCTCTTTTTACAATAAATTCATGACCATCTGAAGATATCAACTTGACATACATGGCATCAGGGCCTTCACAGCCACCATAGGCTTTCTCTTCTCCTTTCGTCAGCCCCGCAGCCACCGTGCCAGGTCCCCGCGCACCACCACAGCCCCTACTCCAGGGCCACCCCGCCACCCCCACAAGCCTACTGCCGGAGGTTCCAGGCTAGATGAGGGATTCTGAACACACTTTGTTAGTACGAGAAATAAGCAATATTTTGGAAATATGTATAGAAGTTAAATAGATGGAAGAGCAGTACTTCAAGCAAAAAGAAGAGCCAGCACTGAAAGCTCATGGTGGGCACAATGTTACTCCTATCCTCGCAACAAGAAAAAAAGCTGAACAAACTAAAAATCAACAACTCTTCTTAGCCCCATCAGAGAATTGAGATCGCAGGGCAAACCACTGCCCCAAAACCTGGAGACAGGCAGGTAAAGAGACACACAGCCATTGAGAGCAGAAGCCCACTGCTAGGGCAAATATCACTGGAAAACTTAAACTGCAATCAATGAATTTCTGGAGCTCAATGTGGACAAGTGGGGACTCAATCTTGGGGGACACTACTTTTGTGAGTTTTACCTCCAGAAGCCCACTAGGTTTTCAAGGTGAAGATCAGAAAAACATCTCCTAGTGCTTCTGGCAGCCAATCAAGGATTCTCTCTCATCATTGATATTTCTATCTCTCTCTCCCTTCCTCTCTGAAATCAATAATTTTTTTTAAAGAGAGAGAGAGAGAGAATAATTTAAAAAGAATAGAATAGCCAAGAACCTTGGGACAATTACAAAAGATGTGGCAAACACATAATGGGAATACCAAAAGGAGAAGAAAGGAAAAGAAGAAATATTTGAAGAAGTAATGACTGAAAAATTTCCAAAATTAATGACAGACACCAAACCACAGATTCAGGAGTCTCAGAGAACACCAAGCAAGATAAATGCTCCAAAATCTACATTTAGGCATACTATATTCAAGCCACAGAAAATCAAGATAAAGAATATCAAGAAAGAAGCCAGAAAGAGGGGATAAAAAACCTTACTTAGAGCAAAGAATTACATCAGACATCTCTTTAGAAACCATGTAAGCAAGAAAAGAGTGAAATATTTACTAGTAAGTGCTGAAAGTACAAAACAATAACCCATGAACCTAGAATTCTACATCAAACAAAATGATCCTTTAAAAATAAAGGAGAAAACGAATTTCTCAGACAAACAAAATTGAAGGAGTTTGTCAACAAGAGACCTGACTTGCAAGATGTTAAAAGAAGTTCTTGAGAAAGAAAGAAAATGATATAGGTCATAAACTCTGACCTACATAAAGAGTGTCAGAGAAGGAATAAATGAAGGTTAAAAATAAAATCTTTACTTTTCTTCTTCTAATTGTTAACAGTTAACAAACAGATAACAGGGTGTTCAAAATAATAATAGCAACCATGTATCCAGTGATTATAGCTGTAAATAAGTGAATGATATAGTGGATGGGAGGGAGGAACTGAGAATACTCTACTGTAAGGTACTTGTACTACCAATGAAGTGATATAGTATTATTTGAAAGTGGACTTGGATTAGTTGTAAATGTATATTGCAAACTCTAGGGAAACCAGTAAAAAATTTTCCCAAAAGAAAAATTAATAATAGATATGCTAAGAGAAGAGAGAAACTGGAGTCAAACAGAAAACTAAGACTTCGGAACTTTTGCCTAAAAATTTCAGGAAGAAGCCCAGCCAGCATGGCTCAGTGGTTGAGTGTCAACCTATGAACTAGGACAGTGATGGCGAACCTTTTGAGCTCGGCGTGTCAGCATTTTGAAAAACCCTAACTTAACTCTGGTGCTGTGTA